ATAGAACGCGTTGTTTAAGAACCTTTCTGAGCTAAAATCTCGCATTTGATTCTGAGAGGTAATACATCAAAAACGAGTGCGAGTGTTTCATCAGTGGTTCACACTTTAGTTGATTGATGCCTTCTAGATAAGACTGTGCCTCCATTTTCACTTATGCTGCGGCATGCATCCGATACCCGATAAATTCAACTGTAGAACTCTCAGCAGTGGTCTCACGCCCCACTGACTCCTGACACTTCCTAAATGGAAAACTCGCTTAAATTATATTTTTATCGTAAACTGCATTTATTAAGCTTTCTTAGTAAGTAATTAAGTAAGTAAGTAAAACCTTTATTTAGACACGATAAGTATTGAAGCTGTGCAGCTTGTGGGGTCGTGTGTAAAATAAAAAGATACATAAACAATAGCTGTAATATAGTATAAAATAAGACTTACGTCTAAAGTTAAGATAATGTCACGGTTTATATTAATAATTGATAGTATTACCTAACTAATAAAATTATAGACCTAAACATACTTCCTTTTGGGAGGAGCTATCTTTTACAGAATACATTAGAGAAGTCAACGTCCCTGACCAAAGGAAGCTTCTTAATTATCCTGGAGAAACTTTTGACACTATGCCCGTTACGGCACTCGATTGGCAGGTAATTCCACAAAACTGAACCTCTATAAATGGAATGCTTTTTGATATTCGATTTAAAAGGTCGGATTTCCAACTTAAGACTGTTCCTTAAATTATATGAGGTTTGCGATTTCACAATATGTGCTGTCATACAGGATGGTAAATCATTGTGGTACATCTTATAAGTTAGTTTCAGGACAGATTATATATAAAAAGTTCTTAGAGAGTCCCATTTAGCCCTGGTAAGGACTTCCGCTGACTGTAGATCCTTAGCGAAATTGTAAATGACTCTTGCTGCCCTGCAGTGTAATCTTTCCAGTGAATCGAGGTCGTCTTGTCGGTTAGTAGCTCCCCATATGAATATGCCGTACGTTACTGCAGGAATTATAACTTTAAAATACAGGTTTAAGAGATCCTGTGTAGGTAAGAATCTGCTCTTCTT